TAAAAATATATATATAAAAAGAATACCATGGAATACTCTGTAGATTTTGAAAAGAGCAGGTCACTAAGTAAAAAAAAAAAAAAAAAAAAAAAAAAGAGCTGTGTCTTGTCCCATGCATAACTGTGCACTGGCACTACCATTTGTTGAGCAGATGTTTCTCCAAATAAATGCAAAGGAGGCGCTTTTGACTGAAGTGGATGACAGGATGCATAGGCTGGCTTTGTGTAACATGGTGTGTGCATAAAAGACACTTCCTGACTTTCTGCCTCGGGCTTTTCTGTAGTGATCAGGACACAGAGGCCTTTGCTTTTAGCACGTCCCTCAACCTCTCCCTTTCTCTTCTTTTATTATGGCCACTTTATTTTTTCCTTATTATGGATTATTTGAGTGCTGTCAGCCAGGTAAGCAGTATTCCCAAGACTCTGTAGGTAACTCAATTTGCCTTTGCCTTTAAATGCGTGGTAAATTTTAATTAACATATTAATAAATAGAAACTGCGTTTTGAATAAAAAGTAATAAATTATATTACTTAAGATAATTTCCAAAGTTTTTTTGGTGCACCTACCTAATGATAAAAAATTACTTTCATAAGCAACATCTGCTTATTTTAATTAAAAAACTTCTACAGTGATGGATAGATGCATAGAAATGGGCTTAATCACGCTGTGTATAAAGGAATCCTGCATGTATCAGATAAAATAAAAATTTGTGTTCTCATTGAAAGAAAATGAATGTTGGAATTATAAAAATTCAGTTATGCAATCATTATAAGTGAAGAATTCTTAACTATTTCTTAAGCCTTGTGTTGAGTAAAACTTACATTATTTTTTCAAATAAATTATGCAGGTGAAATACAAAGAAGAGATCAAACAGGCAACAGCCATTTCTGATCCTCCCGAGCTGAAGAGAGTTAAAGAAAACCAGAAGAACATCAGCAATGTGTGATCATATTTCTCTAAGTATTGTTTTCTCTTTTATTGCCTGGGACCACATAGTGAGGGCATGACACTTGTATAGGTGAAGCCCCCATGACAACCATACCATTGTATGAAGGCCAGCTCTTGAAAGGTGGAGATAAGATTTCACACATCTCAATGCTTCATGTGCATTTGTTTATTAAAAAGACATGTTATTAAATTCCTACGATGTTCTCATTTTGGAAGAATTCCAAAATGAGTGAGGTACACCCTAAAGTTAGGGGCTGTGACTATTCTCAAGGTCTCTAGGAGAAACAGACACAGGAGTAAGTAACAATTATGCATTGTTTATGTGTTATCGACTATGCTTTTTGAGTACTTTACATGCGATATCGCACTTAATAATAAGTAACAATTCCTCTTGCAAAGTCTTATGGAAATGCAGAGAAGGAAAGCTGTGTCAGTGAGAGAGAGGAAAAACCCTTGGAGGAAGAGTAACATTTGAGTTAGATGTTAAAGAATTAATAAAGGTTTAGGGTGGATTTTGTGAGGAAGGGCCTTCCTGGCAGAGCAAGCTGAATATGTTCAGGATGAAAGACTTCTTCAAGGAGGGGAAGGCTTAGTGTGTTGGGCACGTGGGGTGAATGATGGCACAAGATGGTGGTGGAGAGAGAAGTGATCCAGGTCATAAGGACACAGTTGGGAGTCGCACAGTGTCCCTGTATTGTTAAGTGTCCTGCCTATAATCAGGCCTTGACTTAGTGATTAAATTGTCTTAATGTTTCCCTTTTTCAAAAAGAAAGGTTACTAGTTTTCAATTTATCATAGAAACATAATGCTCTCTTAAAAATAACTTTATTTGAAAATAATCGTTAAATGAAAAAAATAATACGATAAATGACAGCACAGGTGCGACCTGGCATGGCACGTGGTAAGTGGCGTGCAAATGGTAGAAATTTGGATAACAGTGGAATAGTGGGGAAAGGCATGGACCTTGGACAATTGGTTCGATCCCAGCTCCAGACTTTCCTTATTTTATAACCTTCATAAGTCACGAAACTCTCCATGCCTCAATTTCCTCATTTATAACACAGAGACTAGAGTATTAAGTGCAATATCATCTGTAAAGCATTTAGCATGTTCATAAATGGATGAATGTGAGATATGAACAGCCCCCATATCAGATGTATGTCCCCAAACTTACATCCACTAGAAACTGGCTACAGTAGTCTCTACATCAATAACGCTGTTCTCTAGATTTTCCCTTCTAAGCTCTACCCAGAGTGATCTCCATGTATGTTGCCATCAATGGAGATTACACTGGACGTTTCCTCATGTTAACTCAGACAGTTATCCCAGACACAGAATCTGCCTAAACTGTCAAACTATGTACTGTGGCACAAAGAAAGTCGCACATTGTGTCAGGGGTCTGTCCCTTTGTCATTTATTTTCCAAGCTTATCAAACGTCTCTTCACTTGCACATTCACTGCTGAGGGTGGGAAATCTCAAGTCCATTTTATCTGCAGGCCCAGTAGGCCTGGTGATTTCTTGGGGGAAAAAAAAAATCCTGGGCATTAAATTTAAATTGTAAAAACCCACCGAGACTGTTCCTGTGGAGTTCTTTATGATGGGATTTTAACCTCAAGTTTTACTTTTGCTTGTCAAAAATGTATGCAACGGACATAGCGTTCTTTTTTCTCTGTGTTAGATGCTTATTTATTTCCTAGGATGTTATGGAATTGCTGTGAGAGCTGACCACAAATGATGGGTCTACTCCCCTGGCTAGGAAAGGGCACCTACCTCTATGCAGTAGGTTGGGAAGATTTCCATACGGCCAGGCAGAGGCTGGCCTTCCAGTGTTGGAAGCCTGCAGAGAAGGAAACTTTGAGGATCAGGGTTTCTTTATATGGTGACCATTTGTCACTGAGTTGCAAGCATAGGAATGGTGCGAGCCTCCATTCCAATGAGAAGAGTGCGGAATTGTTCTTTTTAAATATAAAATGGTAATTTGATAAATGTTGCTTTAGTGCTATGAAGAAATGAATTCACGGAAAGGATCATTTATTATTACTGATAGTACCGAATATGTGATACAATTGGAAGAATAACGACCAAAGGTGGAATTCAAAACATTTGCATAAGAAAAAGCTTAGGCTGGGATCAATATGATGTCCCTTAGCAATCCTAATGAGGATTTTAACTATCAGTGCTCTGTGGCTGTGTACGTTTCTTCTAACCTGATCCAGTACGTGGGTGCACGTTTCCTTCCCGTGACCTCACACTGTCCTTTGTACTGTCTCCCAGCTCCAGTACAAAGAGCCATGCTGCAGGGCAACTCCAGTAAGCATTACCCCAGAGATAGAGAGAGTGAGGAGGAACCAGGAGCAGCTGAGCACGGCAAGTTGTTTCTGTTTCCTCATATTTTATCAAACATGACATCATTTTATTCTGCACAACGCTCTTTGAAAAGTCCTGAACCCTCTTCGTAGTGGATGGTCCTTTTCATGGTCACATATGGAAAGGCATGAACTGGGGCCCTGCCATGTGAGTCCAGGAAAGTTGGGATGTCTTGCGATAATTGAGCCATGTTTGTTTCTTCGGGAAATCTTCATTGAACACCCCAATGTGCCAGGCATTCTCCTGGTACACAAAGATGGATACGACCCAGCTCCTAGCCTCATGGACCTCATAGTTTAGTTGGTCAATCTCTAACACTGTATCCTGGGAAGGACCTTGAGAGCAGTGAGTCTATCGTGAATCTAAGAAAAAAATTACCTACTGGATCAAGGCAAAAGAAGAGCTGGTTTGATTGGGGTTCTAAGACATAATGTCAGGGCTGGAGGCCTTATAAATAAAGCAGAAAACATTATTCAGTCATTCAACAATCTATTGCTTATAAAGCAATGATTGTTCACAGTCATGACGCACCACTAATGCAGACCCTGTACTAAATGTCTTACATGAACCCATGAGGTCAGCACAATTTATTTCCCTGGTTTGTAGGTGTGGGACACTGAGTCGTGGGGAGGTCAGAGGACATGCTGGGTTTCCACAGTTTATAAGAGCAGAGCTGGGATTTGAACCCAAGCTTCCTGGACTTCAGAAATCCTTTCAAAAATGCCCCCCATAGTTATTTTTCTCATTTTTTTTGACCCTCTTATGGAATTTTTACCAATATAAACAATAGCCGCCTTCTAAACAGGTAATTCTGAAAGACTTTATAATTTGAGTGGGTTCTCCCAGGTGGAGGAGAAAATCAGGGTGCCCACTGCTTTGTCCGTATCCCTGGAGGGTGGTGGGAGTGAGGAATCTTTAGCATTTTTTTTCCTTTCATTTTATTTGTCCAAATTTATTCATTTATTCAGCAGATGTTTATTAAGCCCCTGATACATGCTAAGTATTCTGCTAGCCATCACCTGTAAGAAAATAAAACCATCTTGGCTTCAAACTCACAGAGATTCCAGAATAATAAAAATAAGAATAATGAGGACACAGAATATCAAATAAGGAAACATGATATGTGAAATTTCACCTAGGATTTCTGCTATTAGAATTACCTATCCTGTATCTGTAAGAGTGGGATTTGACTGAGTGATAGAGAATAAGATAGATTTCCCAGTTCTTGAGGATTAAAAATATATACACATTAATTAATTGTAAAATTATAGTTGTCATAAAATATTAGATTAGTTTCAGGTGTACAACATAGTGATTTGACATTTATATACCTTACAAGGTGATTACCATGATAAATAGAGTACCCATCTGTCACCATACCTAGTTACTATGATGTTATTGATTTAGTTCCCTATGCTGTACTTTATATCCCCATGACTGTTTTTACAACTGGCAGTTTGTACTTTTTAGCCTCTTCATCTTTTTTGCCGCCCTCCACACCCCACGTCCTTTGAGAATTGAAGCCCCAGGGTCAGCAAGAGAGTCACTGGCCTTCCCAGGCTGCCATGGCGGCCTCTCTATTGTTCTCTATAATGACTTCATTCGGATGTTTCCCCCTTATATTTCCATTACTTTTCATCCTGGACTTTTTGCAGTTAGTTTTGATATTAAACAGCAGATTGTTTATTAAAAACTCATATTTAAGAATCACAACTGACACTTGGGCTTGCTCAGTCAGACAAATCAGAATCTAGGGGTAGATGTGAACAGGAAGGTTGATATGTATCAATTGTGGAAAAAAGTGTATAAAATAATAGGGTTAATTTTAAGGTTCATCCTCTGTGGTATTTGGGTGGAGACCATTCTCTGTCTATCAAAATTCTTATTTATCTTCCACAGGTAAAATACAAAGGCAAGATCAAACAGGCCACTATCATCTCTGACCCACCAGAGCTGAAGAGAGTTAAAGAAAACCAGAGGAACATCAGCAATGTGTGATCTTAGCAACTTCTTTTTTATGATATCCAACGTATTTTTTTTTGGTCAACATGTCAATGAAAGGATTATGTTTACAAAATGTTCATGATCTTGCGTTGATATTGAGTTCTGCTCTCACGGACTACCCATTGATTTGAGAGGTTTCAGGGTCTTAGGTATTGTGGGTTCAGCCAGGCATTCCTGCTCCAGAGTTTCCAAGGACATATTTTATTCCCCATTTGATTTTTGTCTGCAAGTTTTTGTGTTATCTCTCTTATTTGTCTTTATGTTCATGGTTGCTGTGATTCCTTAAAGGGACACCGCGGGAGCTTCTGGCATTGTGGCCTTACCTGTTCTCTAGCCTGTCCGGCCCACTCCCAGCTGTTATTACATTAATGTTGGATGATGTCTGGGGAGACATTACAAAGCGTGCATGGCTAAATCGGTCACATTTTAGGGGTCCTTGATTAGGGCTGTCAGTTTTCACTCAGACACTAACCCCTGGCCTACTCTAACTCCTTGCTGTTTATGTAATCTGTGGACATAGTTCACTGAGAGAATCCTTTTGTGAAGTCATTAACATATAGATGGAGTTCTTTGGAAGGGGAAATTTGGAAATCTATTAGGTTCAAAGAAACCTTATATTCCTCAACCCTTTCAAGTCATTTGACCAGATTATAAAACGGAGGCAGGTTATTGTTGAGCACTTTTCCTAACAACTATATTTTGGACAAGTAGATGCTCATCTTTTCCTGATATATTGAGAGTCACACTTGATGTGACTCCATTACTCTCAAGAAGGGACATGGTTGTTGAGAAGGGAAGGAGGGATGGAGGAGAAGGAAGCACTCCAGCCTGCCTTTTTATGCATGACCATGGTCACCTATTTGAAGGCATCCTTTCAAACATTCTGCCGCAGTTAAATACTGAGAAACCATGATAATTTGGTACCAATCTCTATGGGTAGGTGTGCCTTTAAGTTATATCCATGAAGACATTTTTCTACCATATTGTTTTGTGATGAAATGCTTATTATAGCTTTACTGATGGTATGTCCATATATTTGAGTACATTCACAGTTATTTCATTCGCAGTGACTCACTGCTGTGAGGTGAATTAAAATAGATTGATTTAAGATGCAAGCATTGTACATATGACTAGGCCCCTGATAGCACTCTCTTTTTTTTCATAGTTTCCTCTCCTTGGCTAGCTCTTTAAAATCACTATGAGACTCTTATTTAGTTGAAGGGATTCACAATACTCTATTTCTTTTTTCTCTGAAATGATAGGTTTATTATAAAGGCCAGCTGGGAAGAGCTACTGCTTTAAGTGTAACTCCCGAAATGGAAAGAGTAAAGAAGAATCAAGAAAATATTAGTTCGGCAAGTTGGTTTTATTCGTTTTGGACTATCACAAAGGATGTGTCATTAATCATTTACTTGCAATCCTATTTTTTTCTTGTGAAACAAAATCTATTTTCAAGAACCATTTGGGATATATGCAATAAGTACATGTGTTATTTCAGATGACTTCCAAAAGCTGCCACTGTACACATTTACATTTTCTTGCAGCCCCTCATTGATATTTCCAGGTGTGACCAACAGTTACATTTAAAGTTTAATTTTAACCATGTTATGTTCATTTAAACAATGACTCATGGTATTTTAGTCAGTGTCTTTGAAAGTGATAAAAAGTCTTTGATGCATTAAGTAATTATCATTTTTCAGATGTATTCCCTTGAATGTGAATTGTTAAATGCTCTCTGCAAAAGAAAATAAGAAATGAGTCATTACCCCAAAGTAAGGACTTAGAAGAAAACAATTTTATGTACATTTAATATAGAAATCAGTTGTTCACTAAGGTCCCTTGGACCATGTCAGTGTCTTATGTGGATTGTATGCTTTCTCTTACTGAATGCCAGGGATTCACACATGCACTCAGGTCTGCAAGAATTGGTACCCTAACCTTGCATATAATCAACTTCACAAATAGCAGTGTTCAGATACACCTGGTCTGTCAAGAAGGGCTCTGAGCCTGGGGATCAGCATTTAGGTGTTACAATTTATAGCTCTCCAGTGGCATGTCTGTCCAGAGACGCTGACTAAATTTAACATAAATTACCTTTAAGTTGTGGCTGCTTAAAAGGAAACTAGATTTGTTCCTCATTGTTTCTTGTCCTCTACAGAAGGGAAAAATAAAAGGAAATAGAGGAAAGCTTGGTTTGCATTCTTGAAGAGTGTTATGGTGGAAAATGGGGAAATATAGAAACGGAAAAGTAAATTTAAGTTTCATTTAGTTTTGGGTTTTCCCTGTTTAAGTATGGTAACCGTTTTTACTGACTGCACTGTTAGTGGATATTGTTTATTTTATCATTTGGTTTCAGTTGATAGAGAAATTTAGGTCATTTTTGCTGTAGTCTTTAAAAGGAGACCTTTGAGAGTAAAATTTTAGATTGCTCTTCTAAAACGAAATGTTAATTCACTGAACAGATTACCTGGGAAATAATTTAGAATATGTTGTATATGTTTCACTCATTTGGAAAGCTTGAAAAAGTTACATCATTTTTTTTTATTATTATAATTGTCTTATTGTTAAGTATGTTTTACTATTTACTTTGCAGGTAAAATATACCCAGGACCAAAAACAGATGAAAGGTAGACCAAGTCTGATTTTAGATACACCTGGTCTGAGACATGTCAGAGAAGCACAAAATCATATTTCAATGGTAGGGTGCAACGAGGTCCTTCTTCTCACAACTAAAATGTACTAAGGAGCGATACCACCCAGTACTTACGGCGTTAGTTCACCATTAATCTGGATAACTAACAAAGCATGGAAGTGCAGACGGGCCTGTCCTTTTGGGGAGACTTTTTAATTCCACTGAAATGTAATGGAAATATTCAGTCTAATAAAATAATTTTTCTCAGAGATTTTTTGGTGTGTTTTTATTTCTAACATGACTAGTATCAATGCATTTTATGAAAGACGTTTGCCTGGACTTCTTTCCAATTAATTTTAAGACATAGTTTGGTGTGTTTGCATGTTGCAAAGAATATTTAAAAAATGTATGTTTTTTAAAACAGTTTTATAAGATATCATTTATATAGCATGACATTAACCCATTGAAAGTATACAATTCAGTAGTTTCTATAATAATCTACAGAGTTGAACAACCCTATTCCAATTTCAGAACATGAAAATGTATGTTTTGAAGTATATGTGAGTTTGTGTAATTACACACAAAAATTGTATATATATAATTATTTGTAATTCTCTTAATTTAATTTTAAATAATACTGTTTTTTTAACAATTGCATGGAAATGGCTTATTTTATTGCATATTAAAGATTAAGAATAGGAAATTAATTTGTACCTAAGTTAATACATTTTAGAGAGTAACCAGGCCATATATATATATATATATTTTTTTTTTGTTGTTGTTGTTGTTGTTGTTTTGTTTTCAGTAAGAATTTTTAGATTTAATCTAAAGAATTTTAGATTAAAAATTCTTACTGGATATATAGGTTTATATATAATTTAAAAGAGCTGCTAACCATAATGATGAAAACAGTACGAGCACTTGATTCCTGATGCTAGGAAGCTGACATTTCCTACGTTTCAGATGTTATTTTAGGAGTATTTGGAAAAGATGCATATATGTAGAAAATAATCAAGATGTAGGTGGTGCTGTGACAGCTGTCATTACATCAAAATTTTGTGAGCTATGTAACAATCAGGAAATTTCAGTTTGAGTTCATAGTGTTTTTCCCTTTTTTTCAGGTAAAATATCATGAAGATTTTGAAAAGACAAAGGGGAGGGGCTTTACCCCTGTCGTGGATGACCCTGTGACAGAGCGAGTGAGGAAGAACACCCAGGTGGTCAGCGATGCTGCTTACAAAGGGGTCCATCCGCACCTTGTGGAGATGGACAGGAGACCTGGAATCATTGTCGGTAAGCTGATGGTCCTGCTTGGCAGGTCGCAGAGGCAAAGGTCACGCTTGCCCTAGCTTTAGAGTTAGCCTCCATGTTCATCGGTCTCCTCCTCCAGTGTCTGACGGCGTGCCCGGCTGATAATGGACCACAGGCAAAGTTATTGTTTACACTATGTTGAATGGGGTTCATGGAAATCGCCAGGTATCGTTGCAAATCCTTTGTTATTGGACATTCTGTGTCTTTAATAACTTCTGGTCTTAAGGCTGTTTCTACTTGTTAAGCAAAGAAGCAGCCCCACTGTTAGACATGGGTGATGAACAAAGGTTGAATGATTATTTGGTTTTTCCTTTGGCTTATGTACTTGATCAATACATCGTACTACAGATATCGTCTGCATGGATGACAGAAATAATCCCAGTTAGGTCACTTTACCACAAACAGATATCCCAGCGACATTCTGATTGTATTCCATATTACAAATAGCTTATATGTTTTTGAACATTTACCTCTAAACTGGAATAATCAAGAGCTTTCTGAAAGTCCCATAAATTGGAGAAGAAGGAAACTTCTCTTCCTGCTGTTCCTGCTACTCAGGGGAAATCTTAGGAACATACTACTGTTGAATGGAGGCTGAGATAGCAAGGATCATACCAAAGTGTAAGACAGGGCTAGACAGAAAAGTTATTGATTTTTCAATATATTTCAACAAACCATACTTGTACATGACTGTTGTCTTCTTCAGAGCAGTTGGCCTCTGCATTTTTGTAGTGGTCCAATTATATTGCTCAAATAATACTTTTGGTAACCATACAACAGTGCCTCTTGGTAATCCGAGGGTTAGGTTAACTTCATCTTTAAAGATAAAAGCTTGTTTGGGGTGCTAGTGAAAAGCTATTTAGAGGTGAGTTGGTGAGGAAACTGTGTATTGGATGGGCTCATGTCTTAGAATAAAACAAGGTGCTGACCTCAGGGCACTAGGGTGGCTACTAGGCAACCCTGAAAGTATTTTCTGAAGAGGGATGCCGAACATATTTGTAGGTAGTTGATAGCTTTGCTGATTTTCCCAAGTTGGTTGCTTAAAATGATCACATTAAGTTGGATCAGTTGTGATGTTTTCATCAAAAGTATTAGAGTTTTGTTGCTTTGTATTAGTACCTCATAGGAGGTCTTGCAGAGCATCTGACTCACTCCACAAAGGTGAAAATGCTGAAGTCTGCACAGCTTACACCAGGGTCCCACCCTAGCTCAGGAGCCAGGAATGGATATGCAGTCTTGCTAGAAGCTGTGAGATTGTCTAGACTTTGCGCTTTCAGCATTCAGTACTCATTACCTTTGAGGTAGGGGTTATTATGATTTTTAAAAAATATATGAAATATATACCTCTAAATCACTCACTTCTTGGGAAATCCAGAATCAGTTTATTTTTTCCAATTAGGGGAACTGTTTTCTGTGGAGGGCTTGCCTGTCAAACCACAAAATGGACTACATTGAACAAACATTAAACTTCCGAGCCAGGCATGGAATAGAGATTTTTCTGAGTAATTCAGATTTACGTCAGTTTGTGTAGCTTCTAATTTTATCGGAGGCTCTGCTACTTACTGGTTGTAACCTTAGCCAAGCTAACTCAATCTCTTTCTGCCTCAGTTTCCTCATCTATAAAATGGGAATAGTAATAGTACCTACTTTAATTTGTTATAAAACTTAAATGATTTATGTTATAACTGAGCTTATTAAGCACTGCATAATACTAATTAAATACAGACAAGTAGATCTCCAGTTCCAGGTTACTAATTAATTGTTTTTACTCAAGCTCCATTTCTGCCACATATCCATAACTAGCCTTTTATTTCCCTATTGTTGGTAAAATATTACACAGATCATTTTAGGACCTGATAACCATTAGGTGGCTAGACTGATAAACCCAGAAGTTAGTAGATTTGGATTTTGCTTCCAGCTAAAACAGGAGAACAAATGGCTTGCACAGTCTGATTACTAACCATGGCAGTGAACTCTGCTTTGTTCCACTGAGAGCAGGAAACTCCTTCTTGTCCATCTGTCCTTCTCTCATCAGTGCTTGCTCGGTGCCTTGCTTTAATTGCACTTTCTGAATAAATGTTGTGGGTTAGCTTGTGCTCAGAATGAAAATGGGGCTGCCACTTGCCTATATTTTAAACACTTGTTTCCATTACAGGGAGAGAATTTTTTGTTTTGTTTGCTCAGACAAAAACCTCTCAGCCACTTCCCATGAATTACATGTCCTTAATCAGGAGACCATGAATGATAGGGAGTCTGCATGGAGTTGTCTGGTGTGCATGTGTGCTGGGTGATGGATGAGTCACAGGCTCCACAGGGAGGGTCAAAGAAGAATAAACGGCAACTTAAATGTGATCATAAAGTTTCCTTAAATTCTGGTGAATACAGATTCCCTTTGCTCTCCTCCGACTTCCGCAGCGGAGTGGGTTTGCTTATTCCATGTTTGTTCGCTCCTTACATACATCCCTTTCCAGATGCTCGCCTGACTCCGGTGCTGACTTTTTAAATTCATTCTTGATTTTTTCATTTCTTCCTTTTGGTAAAAGACCTCAAGGTTTGGCGCACCGATCCTGGCTCCATCTTCGACATTGATCCCTTGGAAGACAATATTCAGTCTAGAAGTCTACATATGCTCTCTGGTACTGCTTACGTTTCCAGTCCCTCCCCATTTATGTGGTTTTGCCCTGACAGTGAAGCTGCTCTGAGCTGTAGAGGTTCACTGTGCCAACGGTGTAATGTCAATTTTAAAGTTGAGGATTCGAAAAACCAAGCAAGTGCTAGGCTACTTTCAAATACCATCAATCATTTATAAAAATAAAACTTGCAAGAGGGCACTTTAGTATATCCAAATTAGTTTGTTCTAGATTCATTTAGAAAGACACCTACAGCTTCCTTACATCTGCTTTTTTTATTAGTGAATATGATTTTATAGGTTTTCTGTGCTTTTAAATACATTTAACTTGGATTGCACTAAACTGCCAAGACATAATGGAGTTTTTGTTTCATGAAAAACAATGTTACAACATTTTAAATGTAGATGTAGAGAATCATATATAAAACAGTGGGGAAGTTTTCTATATAGCACCATAAATGTCTTAAAATAAACTTTCAAGTATCCTTAAAATTTATATAATTTTATGTAATCCAAAATTTATAGTTTATGTAAGAAGTTTATTTGACTTTTTAACTTACAGTGTATGCTTATAATTAACAGTGAAAACCGAATGGTTTGGATATCTGGGTATAGTATAATAATAGCATGGTTTGACATTTCAGACTTTCAGACCGTGTTTAGCAAACCGAAGCTTTGACAGTTATGCAATTATTTTAACAATTAAAAATAGACATAGATCATTTAGGTCTTGCCTGGCCCCCTGATTTCTACTCTGGATTTAATTACTGACATTAATAAAATTGAAAGCCCAAGGCAAAGTAGGGATTCTAATACTTTATAGTCAGTTTAATCCATATAATCAGCCAAACTGTCATTTAACTTTCTAAAAATAAAGGCAACAAATATTGTATGCTTGGTGATACTTGAAAACAATTATTTATAGCCAGACGTTAAGTTTGAGAGAAATTTATTAGTTTGCCAATGTTTTCTTAGTTCTTATCAAGTTCCCATCCTTCCATCTCTCTGTTAAGATCTAGATAAAAAAAAATGAGTGAGTATAAATGATCATTAAGTCAATTATAAAGTTGATACAATGCATGCTGAAGTTTGAGAATAGGTGATTAGAATTTATTATAGCTGAGCTTTTGGATTGTTATTTAATGTAAGGTTGTTTTTCTTTCTTGTTAAACTTAAGTAAGTGTGTTTTTGCTTTGTTCTTCAATTCACTTAACCACAAGTATGGATGTTTTCCCTCCAATATAGAAAAGGCGAGTCACTATAGGAGACAGCGGTCTCGATCTCATTCGAGCAGTACCTTTGGGACAGGTCTGGGAGATGACAAGTCAGAACTGTCTGAGATTTACCCTAGCTTTTCATGTTGCAGTGAGGTAACAAGACCGTCTGATGAAGGAGGTATTGAATATTAACCACTCTCAAAGAAAATTAATTTCTTTTTTAAACTGTGTCACAAGTGTGTTCCTAACACATTTTTTTTTTTGCCTTTGCAGACACATTTAACCCGGGTGTGTTTGAAACTTTTCAATTATGTTTACAAACATAAGAGTCCTTTTTGTTAAACTACTAATTTGCATTTTTGCATGTTCATGTTTCCTGTCTTACTTCACTATTTTCTCTGCAATCACTGGACCTTTAAAGACAAAAGAGTCTTGAGATTTGCTTCTTGACTCTGTTACACAGAGTTGTACGTACATATGTGATAGATACACACAGGGTGGAAACTTGAGTTCTGCAAAGTTCGTATCTGATTTTCATTAAGGAAAATCATCTTACAGTTACATTTGAGTGGCTGAGCGGTTGCTATGAAATATGTGTGTTTAAATATTTATACACATTTGCAGTTAGAATTGGATCTTGTGAAAAAGAAATTCAGTATGATGCTTGGGATATTAGTTTTTTTTAATGGAAAATACTGTTGATTGTTAATAATCTTCTCTGTATTTTGTATACCCACCCATTCCCTCTACCTTCTGTTTTTTGCATCCAAGCTGGTGGATTAGGTCTAGAACTTTTAGTTGAAATTGTATGGGATGTTAAACTAATCCTGAGGAGAAAGCTGTTATGAAAGGTTTATTTATTTTTTATTTTTATTTTATTTTTTGGTGAGAACATTTACATTGTATGCTCATCGAATTTCAGTTTACAATACAATTTTATCAACTTTGGTCACCATGCTCTACGTTAGATCCTCCGACCTTATTCATCTTGCTGCTGAAAGTTTGTACACTTTTACCAACCTCTCCCTAGTTCCCCACCCTCCAGTTTTGGCAACCACTTTGCTACTCTCTGTTTCATGAGTTTGACCTTTTTTACTTTTAGATTCCTCGTTTGTAGAAAGTTTTTAAGATCTCCTTTCTCTGTGATTCTAATGAAATGTTTATAAATCAGTTTTGCTCTGCTGTATAAGACAGACATGAAGGATGCCCCTCCCCTTTTTGTGTCTGGTTCACTAACAAAGGGTTCAGTAAGTTTTTGAGGGTTTTTTTTTTTAATGACTTGAGGCTATCGATTTTTTCCTTCAGTGTCTCTGTGGCTCTGGACTTAGAGAATAATGTGGATGCTTGATGAGATAAATAAAAGCCAAAGCAAAGAGAAGAACACATTTCTGTCAACCTTGTTTAACTTCACCTCAGTTCAGCGTCCTGGAGTTGAAGTCTCTCCCGAACGCAAGGCACCAGAGAGTCTTGTCTTCCACAGTGCCCCTTTCACTTCATGTCTGCACACACCATTGCAGCACTCACTCTTTTATTCACCACATGTTTGTCGAGTGCTCTTTGTACACCAGCCCAGAGCTTGGACCTGGCAAGTCATGCAGCAGTGCGTGAAAGAGACATGCGTTTGCCCTGAGGGGCTTAGAATGTGGTGGGGGACCCTGACATGATACTTGGACCCAAATGATCTATAATTATGAGGAGAGTAAGCGCTGGGAAAGGAGGGCAGAGGGGCTACAAGGTGTATTATAGGTGAATTGCATCTGGCCCCAGTGTCAGGGAAGCCTTCCTCAGGGAGATGATTTGAGTGGAGATACGCATGCAGAATGGAAGTTAAATAAACCAAGGGGACTTTGGGAGAGAAATGTTTCTGGAAAGAGAACAGAGCACTGAAACGGTGTGTCACTAGGACATTCAAATGGAGGCATGGAGTAGGCAGAGCTCAGAGGAGAACCCTGTGCTGGAGATACGCGTGGACATCATCGTCCATTTTAACGATAAGGTCTTAGATGAATTCAGAGAAGAATTCAGGGACCTCGCCTGCATGTGTCTCAGCTCCCTCTGACCCAGCAGACTCTCAGACTGTGTTTAGCAAACTGAAGCTTTGACAGTTATGCAATTATTTTAAACAATTAAAAATAGACATAGATCATTGAGGTCTTGCCCGGCCCCTGATTTTCTACTCTGGATTTAATTACTGACATTAATAAAATTGAAGGCCCAAGGCAAAGTAGGGATTCTAATACTTTTATAGTTAATTTGATCTATATAATCAGCCAAACTGTCATTTAAGTTTCTAAAAATAAAGAAAGGATAACAAATACTATCAGAATGGCTATCATCAGACCCTCTCTAATTACCAGAGATAAAATAGCTAGTCCTGTGCTGTCCATCCCCTTACCTTGCTTTCATTTTCTTCACAGCATTTGATTCCACCTGAGCTATTATATCTTTGTGTATTTGCCTCTCTCTGCCTCACTAGACTAGAAGCCCCATAAGAGCAGGGATATTGGCTGATTTGTTTACTAATCTATTCCTAACTCTTAGAATAAGCATTCAGCAAATATTTGGTGAATGAATGAAATGGCCAAATTAAATTTTTTGTCTGTTCATTGTTTTGATTGAGATATAATTGACATATAACGTTGTATTAGTTTTAGGTATACAATAAATTAACGTTTTAAATACTAGAGCTGCATATAGAAATCTAAGTATGGTTTTTTTGGACAATACAATTCTGTTGTGTAAGGCTTTCAAGAAAATTCTTACATTTTTATTTTGATGCTGTTTTGATATGTTTCAATAACATTAAAGCATAGCTAAAAAACCCTTAAAGTGGAAACATTCCTAGTGTATTTTTTTGTTTTTTTCTGGTGGGGAAGGAAAAGAATAGTATCCATGACTTTTTGGTTGCTTTGAAATTTCGGGTCCCTTTTGAAATGTGTTCTATGCTGGGCCTTGGAAAGGATGTGCTGATTGTCTCTGTGGAAGGATGAAACTTTTGTGATGATGACAGCTATTTGAGGAAAACCTTTAGTGTCTATAGTAGTAACAGTCAGTCATCTGCGTTTGTTTAAATACTGTTCTAGAAATTGAAAAGGATGTTAGAAAAAGACATATTACTGGTAAGAGGAAGCAAAAGAAAATGATCATCGTATTTAGAAATGTCATTTTTTTCCATCCAGATTTTGTTGGTTTCTTTAAATTTAGATTAGGATTTTTTATGATAAAGTTTGTTACATCCCAGAGAGATGTCCTTTAATATTGGGTTGTGTCCCTGCTGTCGGGCGGTGTATGTGGCAGTACTGTACTGTAGTGGGCACCACACAGTGCAGAGAACGAGACATTGAACTTCACCCTCGCTTTCACTACTTGGTCTGGGTTCACGCAAAGTTACCTAACCTTATTAGGCTCAGAATATAACATCTCTAACCAGAAGGATCTAGAACAAGAAGCTTTCTAAGATATTTTACATTTCCCAAGCCAAGTGCCATAAACTTAAAGGAACTTCAATTTTCTTTCTGTACCTTCTATGTATGAGAAAGTGTTTGCGTCCTGAAAGTGATCTGTTTTACTTCATGGATTCAGTGGCTGGCAGTTATGAAAGTTCTAGTTTTAGGGTCCTTCTTATGAGTTGGAGAAAATTCAGATTGTTAGTGCAAAGGGTGAAACAATCAGCTCATTTCCTCGAGGCAAAAGTACAATGTTTTCATCATTCCCATTTGGTTTTCATGAGCATTAACATCGAGGCCTTTTCCTTGAAGTTTTTTATCGTTGTTTGAGTTATGTGTTTCTCATGGTATTTTCCCATCTTGCTTTGATTGCTAAATATTTTCATTTTCTTATGTGATTATTTTGGGCCTTCTTTACATTTCAATCTACTTTCCAAGGCATTAAGTTACCAAAGGGTTTTCATTTCACATCTCTACTTGGTTACTTCAATGCAATAAAAAAAGGAAGGTTTTATTTAAACTCCATCGAATTTTGGGTTGGTTCTTAAATAGTATTATTTGAAATTATCTTTATTGCTTTCTGGTATTAGATTAGGTTAACTTGTTTTCATTTGACACAGTTCCTTGAGTGGAAATAATCCTGGTGGTTTCTGCTTATTTCCCTGCGAGGCTTTCTTTGATCTCTGTGTTTGGCTTTAGTTCACTTGCCTGCAACATGTACTTGCCTCCTGGGACCACTTTTTATTTCTTCAGTTTTCCTTAACTTCCAGTGCTCTGTACTGCTAGCATTTTTACGTCAGCAACCTCATCCCTTGTTTACCCTTTTCACTTTGAACTTGTGTTCAGTTTCGCTTCGGGTATGTGTTTCTGTCTTCCTCCAAAGCATACAAGTATGATGGCAAAGGAAAAGCAGATACACTTTTCAAACAGACATTTCTAGTGTTTCTGCCTTGTGAACATTTTCATTTTGCTGTGAAAGAATCTGATTGGGATGACCGGCCTTCACTGATGGAAAACACGTTTCTGAGTCCTGGGACAGCCCTAGCTGGGTTGTGCTTATAGCACTCCATCCCATTTAATATGTTCTCAAAAGAGGTGAGATTGGAAGAGATGCGTCAGTGCCTTCTGGAACTGTCAGTATATTGTCCGTAGGCATACCAAGAGGGCAGTACAATAAGTAAGGTGCCAATTGTCCTGGTGTGTTTTTGTTTTTGTTTTTAAAGATTTTGTTGGGGAATTGGGGGAGGGAACAGCGTTGGGGAATCGGGGAAGGGGAACAGACAAGTTGCTGTCCTTTTGTTCTTCAGTCTAGTTGTGGAGAACGTTGCTGCACTGGCCCATGTTGGTATTGTGATCATTGCACTCTTCCCGGGTGAGGCAGATCGGTCGCTGGCCATTGGACGGCTGCTCAAGGCAGCTCACGCTGGCTGCTGGCCATTCACAGTAGCTTACGGAAGCCCACTGCAGCAGGGGCTGCAGCCTACATCATCGCCAGTGACTCCCTGCAGCCCAGCTCCAGGTTGAGCTGTTGTTCACCAACTTAGCTGTAGAGGGAAGTATCACTGGCCCATGTGGGATCCAAACCGGTGGCCCTGCTGCTGAGAGCTCTCGCTCCCAAGCCAGGTCTTAACCAACGAGCCACTTGGCCGGCCCTGTCCTGGTGTTTTATAGGCTCCCATAACTGCATCTGTTCGTTCACCAAACATTGATCTAGTATCTCCTATATGTGTGA